TATTTTCTATGTCAACCTGGCGACTGTGGACTATGGAAGCCTGGCGACTATAGACTATGGCAGCCTGGCGACTGTGGACTATGGCAGCCTGGCAACTGTGGACTATGGCAGCCTGGCGACTGTGGACTATGGCAGCCTGGCGACTGTGGACTATGGCAGCCTGGCGACTGTGGACTATGGCAACCTGGCGACTGTGGACTATGGCAACCTGGCGACTGTGGACTATGGCAGCCTGGCGACTGTGGACTATGGCAGCCTGGCGACTGTGGACTATGGCAGCCTGGCGACTGTGGACTATGGCAGCCTGGCGACTGTGGACTATGGCAGCCTGGCGACTGTGGACTATGGCAGCCTGGCGACTGTGGACTATGGCAGCCTGGCAACTGTGGACTATGGCAACCTGGCGACTGTGGACTATGGCAACCTGGCGACTGTGGACTATGGAAGCCTGGCGACTGTGGACTATGGCAGCCTGGCGACTGTGGACTATGGCAGCCTGGCGACTGTGGACTATGGCAGCCTGGCGACTATAGACTATGGCAGCCTGGCGACTGTGGACTATGGCAGCCTGGCAACTGTGGACTATGGCAGCCTGGCGACTGTGGACTATGGCAGCCTGGCGACTGTGGACTATGTCAGCCTGGCGACTGTGGACTATGGCAGCCTGGCGACTGTAGACTATGGCAGCCTGGCGACTGTGGACTATGGCAGCCTGGCGACTGTGGACTATGGCAGCCTGGCGACTGTGGACTATGGCAGCCTGGCGACTGTGGACTATGGCAACCTGGCGACTGTGGACTATGGCAACCTGGCGACTGTGGACTATGGCAGCCTGGCAACTGTGGACTATGGTAGCCTGGCGACTGTGGACTATGGCAGCCTGGCGACTGTGGACTATGTCAGCCTGGCGACTGTGGACTATGGCAGCCTGGCGACTATAGACTATGGCAGCCTGGCGACTGTGGACTATGGCAGCCTGGCGACTATAGACTATGGCAGCATGGCGACTGTAGACTATGGCAGCCTGGCGACTGTGGACTATGGCAGCCTGGCGACTATAGACTATGGCAGCCTGGCGACTGTAGATTTTGGCAATGGGCGCGGCAACCTGTAGACTGTGGCAATGGGCGTGGCAACCTGTAGACTTTGGCAGTGGGCGTGGCAACCTGTAGACTATGGCAATGGGCGTGGCAACCTGTAGACCATGGCAGTGGGCGTGGCAACCTGTAGACTATGGCAATGGGCGGGGCAACCTGTAGACTTTGGCAATGGGCGCGTTAATTTTAATTTTAGTTTTTATTTTTATTACTTTTTAATTGGTGTTTTTTTGTATTTTCTTTTGTTTCTGTGTGTTTCTTAGATGTTTATTTTTTTTCTCATTTCCTGTCTGTCTGCCTGTTTATCTGACTGACTGTGTCCATCTGTCTGTCTACCTGCTGTCTGTCTGTTTGTCTGTCTGTTTATCTGGCTATCTATCTCTCTGTCTGCCTGTTTATCCGCCTGTCTATCTGTCTACCTGTAAAAAAAAGGCAAAAAAGAATAAAAAACAAAACAAAAGAAAATCCAATAAAACAAAAACAAACCAAAAGGTAAAAAGAATATAAATAAATAAAAGTAAAGAAAAAAGTATTTAAAAGAAACGTAAAAAACGAAAAAAAAAGTAAGAAAAAAGTATTAAAATCAACAAAAAAAGGAAAAAGTATTAGAAATCAAAATTATCCAAACAAACAAAAAAGTATAAAAAAGAAAGAAAAAGAAAAGAAAAAGAAGAAAAAAAAGAAAAAAAAAAGAAAAAAAAAAAAACGCGATTCGGTCCGGCAGGCGATAACTAGCTTATCGATACAGAGCAAATCTGATTACCGAAGCACTGCTGCCTCGGCCGGCGTCAGTCATGGGACAAATGCAATAAAATTCGCATGCATGTGCTCTGCTTGCTATGGCGCATGGCAACCCGGCTCTCGGTGTCATTAGCTGGGGGGAGGGGGAGAGAGAGCCGATTTTAGCGTTAGTTGTTTTACTTATTTGCTTGTTTTTTCGATTTTTTTTTCTTGAGGGGAGGTGGGGAAAGGGAGGGGGAGGGGAAGGAGGAGGGAGGAGGTGGGAGAGGGGGAGAGGGAGGGATGTAATGGTGTTATTAGAAGAAGTTTTTTTTTTTTTTTTTTTTTTTTTTTTTTGAGGAGAAGGAGAGGGAGTGAGGAGATGAGGGGGAGGAGGAGAAGGAGGAGAGGGGGAGGAGGAGAGGAGGAGGAGGGGGGATAGAGGAGGAGGAGGAGTTGGGGGAGGGGGAGGGGGAGGGAAGGGAGAGAGGGAGGAGGAGGAAGAGCAGGAGAGGCGGAGGAGGGGGAGGAGAGAGGGAGGGAGAGAGAGGGAAGAGAGGGAGGAGGAGCAGGAGGAGGAGGAGGAGGTATTTCATTACGTTGATTTAGTTGTGTGCGTGTATGTGTGTGTGTGTGAGTGTGTATCTGTGCGCGAGGGAAATGTAGAGGCATTTTAGAGATGA